CGACCTCTGACAAGCAAAGTCAATGGGGACGTCGGATCCACTTAACAACGGTGTTACTAACTTAACAACTGCAGTGATTCCCTTAACAACTGTGGCAGGAAAGGTTGTAAAATGGGGCAAAATTCAATAAATGTCTCCCTTAGCAACGGAAATTTGGGCTCAGTTGCGGTTATAAGTCAAAGATTACCTGTACTCATTTTATTTCTAGCACAATAGGAATATGAGAACGAAAAAGGCAAATGTAGAGAAGAATTAAAGTGCGTATCAGAAATTTATTCCTCAGCACAATAATTTGGAAAGTGACTTTCAGTTTCAAATGAAAGAAATAAATAAAATGAAAACAAACTTCTAGAATGACAGTGTAGGTTCTATTGTTACTTCAGAAGTTCAGCCTTGCACAGCTGGGGGAAAAGCTTCCAGCTGACAGTTTCCTTTCTTTGACATGAAATGGTCAATCTTCAGAAAAAGCAGGCGAAGCATCACTGTTGTCACATACAGCAATCTAGCAAAGGTTGTTCTTTGAGTTTGTTGCGGAGAAAGCCAATATGATGATCAGAAAGTTGCAACGATCATCCCAAGTGTCTTTCTGCATTCCAGGTAACAATTTCACTTTTGAGTCCTTCTCCAATCAGAGGTTGGAAGATTTGCAAATGTCCCTTTCCTAGAGGCCTAACGGAAGATCTGCTTTTATGCTGGTGAGGCTTTTGGTGGCATTTCCCATCACAACTTCGTATCTATTGTCCAGTTCGCAGAAAATTCAATAGTCAAGGAGGATTAGCTCAGCTCCTGTATTCCCATGGTGGCTCCTTCACTTTCCTAATAAGACTTGTACCGAAAATCTATATTTCTGAGCAGTTCTGAAAAGTTATCAAACCCACAACAGACTCTGTAGCTGCTTTGAAAGGTGTGTTCAGTCTGGTCACACTTCATTCTATGAGATCCAAAAGGTTACAATAGGCTGAATCCTAGCAATGGTTGACCCTGGGTTATAAAATTTGGACTTGGTTGTAAAAACTGGATCTCGAAGCCTCCTCCACTTAATCTCCATTTGTCTCAGTCTTGGACAGTACAAATTCTTGGTTAATTTATGCTAATTACTATTTCTTTTGGAATTCATTCCACCATCCTCCCTATTTAAAATCTTACCAGAATTCTCCTTCCTATTAAAAATATTATTTGGTATTAAAGGAGTATAATAAAGCTAGAAGGCTTTTTGATGTCTCATCATCAAGGATTCTTTCTTAAAAGTATGCTGAAGAAATTTTGCAGTTGCATTAGGTTTTCCTAAACTGCACTTTTTCAGCTTTCTTCAGGCCCTTTGTCTCTGCATGAAAGCTAAGGTACAGAGTCCTTAATTGTCTATAGCTCTTTATTCAAGTTTTCTGAACACAGGCTCTCTGTGTCAATGGAAACTGAAACTGACCCTGTGCTGGAATCTCAGAAATCAGAACTGGTAGCCATGTTTGTTAGAAGTCCCAATAGAAAACCCAAAATGGCCAGGGTAGTAAGGGCTAAAAGGCTGTAACCAAATTACATAGCAGCTTGCATATGCTCAAATACCAAGTTTTCCAGTTTAATATGTTGCATAAACAAAACTATAAAGCTATTTAACAGACTTCTACAAGTGTAGTCCATTAAATCCAAATGTCCCTTAAATCCAAATTTATGTCATTAGCATCCATTTACATTGTTTGAAGAATTAAATAACTGAATTTTTTTACATCATGATTTGTGTAATTACACAAAACATATAAATTGATGCAAAATTCATAAAAGTGTTGCCTATGTGATTACATTAACGGCATACATTTCAACAATTGCCTTGACAATTTTAGGCAAAATTAGTTTTGAGGAAGATGTTTGAATTAAAATGTTACTAGATATAAGTCTGAAATTTACTGAATAAAGGCCCAGATAAACCATGACACACTGTAATTCCTTTCTCATTCATATGCAATGTGAACTGTCAAAATAATATAAATAATTGTGGCCAGATTATTCAGACAGCCAATTCATGAACTGCAGTTCAGATTTACGTCAAGCCTAGGAAAGATCTTGATATCTGAGACAAAATACGTTATTTGCACACTCCAATCCTTTGACTTTAGCTCATGTAAATTTTCTGTAAATGGGCTAATTTAAAATTGGACTGAATTTTGGGTATTTGAACACCAAATTCTCAAGGATCTAGATGTGATTGCTGGCAAAGGAGGGACCAGGATAAGATTATATTTTTTAGGGTTTTTCCTTTTACACTGCACTTTTAATATAACCCCCATCACAAAACTTCAAGTGACTGAGTGAACACCAAGTAATCTTGGGATTAATATCCTCTTGCTTCTAGTACCACTATCCAGGCACTTTTAAAGATTTCAAATAGTCTTCTCTCTTGCTATCTCTAATTAAATTGCAAGCGCCTATAAAAAGGACTTGTGCTGATGTTTTGGCTTAATGATTAAATCAATCATCTTAGGTACGAATGCAAATCCTACCTCCTCAATTTTCACACACTTGCTCATAATTCCCTTTTTCTACTTGCTCTCTCGTAATAAGAGGTGAATGCCACCCTTGATATTAGCAAATTCAGAAGTCAACACTTCATGTTTTGCTCTTTTGAATTCTCTCAACCTCTACTCTTTTTTCTCAGGAGCCTCCAGAAAATATTGCTCTGATTTATGGAAAATGGCTGCCAAAAAAAGAGGTGTTGAGTAAACTCTCTCAATATTTACACCTTCCTTGCAGTTAGGAAAAATGGGTCATAAGAAAATAAGGAGACTAAGATCTTCTGGCTGTATTTAAATCACAGCCGCTTAACCTGGAAGGTATTTTCCTGGCCCTAAAAGTAAGGTGACCAACTTTTTCACATTGAGAAGGAGGACACAAATAAATTGAAGGAAAAAAAGTGGGTCTAATGCGTGCGTGTGTGCCGTGTTGTGTTTCGGTAAGAAGTAAACAAAACCACTTGCGTGTGGCACACTCTTGTGCGCGGTGCACTCTCTCAAAACAATTCTCCTGTGCGGAGCGCATGCGTCTCATAATCGCGTCTCGCCGCACTGTACCGAGCCTTGACGAATCGTCATGTCAAATACAAATACGTTACATCACACGCAACGGATCGGATCGGCATCGATCAAATACGGAGATTTACAGATTAGTCTTCAAATATCGAAAAGGAGGACATGTAGGAGGACAATTTTCGAGAGAGGACAGAACTTGCAAAAGAAGGACTGTCCTCCCTAAAGGAGGACGATTGGTCACCTTACTAAAAGTCACGCACAGTTTCTGCTATGACTCTGAGAAGTAAGGATTTAGTCTTTAGCTCCTGTCCTATTTAATGACAGGCTGAGGTTGCAGATACACTTGTGTGAACCAGTGCCTTTCAAATGTTCTGTTTTATACATATACGTGTGCATTTTTGCTTTTCTTTCTTCTACAAGTTCATGATGGAACACGCTGGGTTTTGCCCTTATTTAATTTAATCACTCTTTTAGCTCTTTGAGAAACCCGAGTAATAAGGACTGACCTGGGGAAGTCCAGAGCTAAGTAGGACCTTGAGATATACATACATACATACATACATGCATACATACATACATATTTGTCCAGGCAGCTGCCAGAGATTCAGAGGCACACATTGCAAAGCAGACTGGAGTCCCCTATTGATAATCTAATAATAATAATAAAGTTGGAAGGGACCTTGGAGGTCATCAAGTCCAACCCCCTGCTCAGGCAGGAAACCCTATGCTATTTCGGACAAATGGCTGTCCAGTCTCTTCTTAAAAACCTCCAGTGTTGGAGCATTCACCGCTTCTGGAGGCAGGTTGTTCTGCTGGTTAATTGTTCTAACTGTCAGGAAGTTTCTCCTTAGTTCTAGGTTGCTTCTCTCCTTTGTCTCAGAATGCTAATCCAAGGACAAAATGTGGGGACAATGAGGGAATGAATATCTACCAATGCTTCCCTACATAGGAAAAAAAACCCCACTCTTTGGCAATTTTATTTCTTTGTCCACCTTTGGCTTTAGATGCAGGCCGGCTGTCAATTGTGCAGAGGTTAAAATTTATTCATAATGTTTGGATTGCTTCCTGTTGCTTAGGATGAATCTAAGTCATCTGCCATGTAAATGAAAAAGCTTTCTAGCTTCGCTATTTTATTTTCCTGCTCCAAAGCACCCCTCCCTCCAAAAATAACCACCCCAATCCCGCTGAATCCTGCTGAAGAATTTCAGATCCCAAAAACTGAAGGACAGGGGTTTAGGAAGTGATTTTCCATGGCGACTGCTTTAGAAAGAAGGTTGCAGTTTATGGAAGAGCAAGACAGTAAGATGGTTCTGGTAGGAAGGAGGGGGAAAAAGGACTGAGCACATGTGGGTAGTAGGTTTTTATACCTTCTCAAGCCTTTTGTTTAAAGTAGTTTCCTGTTCCTGTTTCAGGCTTTGTATTTCCTGTGTCATGCATTCTGACCTGAGTCTGGGTGTGCTTTTCTGGTGTTCTTGATGGTGGTGGGTTAATCGTATTATGTCCCAAGGGTTATATCCTGCTTCCCTGGTGCTGGAGCTAATGACTCTTAGAGTTTGGGTGGAGTATGCAGATTTTTGGTGTCTTTGTCTTCTCCTAGCTGGGACCTTTCTGATGGTTTACATCTGCATTTGTACAGAGCTGGCTTCTGCGTGAGACACAGAGACTTGGGGGCAGGGTTGGTTTCTGCTTTTAAGATCCTTTTGCCCTTTTAATATTTCCTTCTCTGGGGTGCTGACTTCCCACAGAAGAAAGGCAGTTTGTCTCCAGTTTGGCTTCACTGATTTGATTTATAGGAATTAGGTTTAAATAGAAGGCAACCCCAAAGACAAGTATTTAGCTTAAACATCTGGCTTGTGCCTAGGGCCATTTTGCACACTGCACAGAAACAAATGTAAGTTTGCAATCCGGGGCACAATCAGCAGTGAGCTGAAACTAATCTCACTTACAAAATTGAAGATGTTAAAACAAACATTAAAAAAAACCTTTTTTTTTTTCATTGGTGACCAGATCCTGGTCTCCAAATATGTGCCTGCATTCCAGTTTGGGATGCCGAAAACCTGGGTCTAGCTACCTGAAAATTGAGGGATGATGTGGGCCGGCTGGAGGAAGCCCCTCTGTCCGTCTCGCTGAGTTCAGGAGAACTCTGATATTGGAGGAGAACTCCCTGATATGGCCCTGGGGATGCAGGCACAGAAGTAGAGATCACGTCTGATCTCCAAAGTGGTTCATCCAATGTGGTGGCAGAACGAGGAGCTAACACTGTAGGAGCCATACCACTCGAAGTTGGCATTGGGACAGGGGTGGAAAAACGGCGAATTTCATAGGTCCTGGCTGTTTTCACAGGGGCTTGCTTGGCCGGTGTGAAAGACAAGCTGGACTGTTGAACTTTTGGGCTTGTAGGGGCCTGGACACCAGTGTTTGGAGTCTCCCCAAAACAGAACATGGCAGAATTTAGTTGGTACGGTTGATGTCTGAGGAAGTCAATGACTTTGATCCCTGATTTGTGACTTGGTGCTTTTTTAACTTTGCTCTCTGCCTTGGCGGCCTGGGATTTGCTAGCTGCCAATGGGTAAAATGGGGAATGCAATGGGTTGTAAGCGATGGGAGGCGGGGCACGAATATTTGGTGAATACTTCCAGGAAGAGGGAAGAGAAGGTGCAGGAGACGGAGTTCTCGGCTTGGATGTTGGTACAGCCTCCACCACAAACTTATCCATTCGGCTCTGTCGCTTAGCGAAAAGCTCCGCCCCTTTCCCCTTCAAATGATACAGGTCATGTGCAGGAGAGGAGCCATTCACCATTCCATTAGGGGCACTTGACTGCTGAGGCTTAGGGGCCACCGGAGGTGGGGTCTTGAACTTCCGGCCTGAGAACTGCATAAAGTTGCAGGCTTCTGCTCCCAGACTGAGAACATCTTCCTCAGGGCCTGACTCAAATCCTGCTCCTTGATGGTCCCCTTTGGGTTTTTCATCCAGATTCTGCACAAGGGATAACAACTCTGGATTTGGGGAATTCTTTTTCTTCTCTTCTACAGCTTTGAACATGGGCTTCTTACTGCTTCGGCGGCGGGCCTCCTGCAAGATACCTGTTCTGGGAGCTGGAACGGCAACCCTCTGCTCCCTGGAGGCCAAAGGCTCGGAAGCAGGTCGTGGGATAGCGGAAACATTACCGGTGAATGGCTGGATTGGTGGCTGATTGAGGAGTGGTGGAACTGGACTAACGTACGAAGTGGAAGGTGCAAAATCCTGGGTTGGTGGAGAAGATAATGGCGTGGATGCATCCGCAGCTGGTCTAGAAGAGGATGAGAGAAATATGGAAGCAGTGGAGGTTCTACCTGCTCTGGAAGGTGATTTAGCTTCTGCTGATTTTGCACCTGCCGCGGTCTGGACCGATGATGGTGCAGTTGGGATATACAGAGACACAGATGTGCTTGCTGTGCCTTTAGGTTGCACTGATGGTGGAAGGGCAGGAAGGGCTGTGCCTGAAGAACCTGGGGAGACAGGAGGAGCAGCCATTCTCTGGTCACCTGCCCTCTCACTGCTCTTTTTTAGCACTAAGGGTCTAAACACAACAGATGATGTTATAGGACGTTGTCCAGAAAAGCCAGGAATGAAAGGCCGAGCAGACCTATTGAAGATGCCTGAGGTATTTGAAGAGATCTGGGCTCCCTCTCCAAAGATAACAGATGGAGACTGGAGCTGAGCAGGATTAGGTGGTGGCAGCTCCCTAGAAACTGGTGCAGATTCTAAGTGGACACTTAGGGAAGCCTTTTCCGCCTTCCACGGCACTGGTGCTTCAGTACCAATCACCCCGTGTGTAGGTTGTATGGTTGAATTTGGGACCTCTGCCTCTGGCTTCTGGGCAGATGTATTTTCCAACATCTGCTTCCCAGTTTTCTGCCTCTGCTGCTCAAATAATTGTGCTCCTCTCCCGGAGGCTTCACTCAGCCCTTGCTGTAGCTGGGCCTGCTCCTGTGCAGGATGGCCTTTGGGCTTCTCGATGTCAAGGTAAGCATTTCCTCCATCTGAGTGGTTAGTTAAGCTTCGAACATCAGAGAAGCCTTCTTCATCAAATTCCGACTCACTGGTTGGGAAGACGCCGTCCTCTTCGTCATAGTTGCGGTCTTCTTCCACGCTCCCAAAACTGACGAGGGTATATTTCTTAGCTCTCTGCCTGCGTTTTTTAAACATCAGGACTCCCTTGGAGTGGGGGTTAGGGGCATCTGTCAACAGGGATGCAATGGTTCTGCACTTGGTTTTGGCTTCTTTCATGTTTTTTTCTTGCACGCTCTCACCACGATTAAGCTCTGCAAGGGACAACAACAACAAAAAGCACAGTCAGGATTCTATAAAAAAAAAATCTACACGGATGCACAAGTTTGTATAATCTACTGATGACAAGGAATGTGCTTGGCTCAGATGTGAATAATCTTCAAGGCCGCTTCAGACATTCTTCTAAGAAAGGCATGCAAGAATGTCATAGTACTTTGATAGAGGAAAAGAAATCTTTGGCAATAAATTCCTGAGAGCCTTCGGGATTGAGCAACTGAAACTTCGACTTGGCCCAACAAAATTCAAGCTAGTAAATTCCTGATAGCTGTTTTATAGGCACAGCAATGATTAGACTTTATAACATCAAGATCCATCATCCAGTTTACGCCTATAGGGAAGAAATGTGGAAGGATGTTAAAATAAACAAATCAAGACGTAAAAAAAGCCTTGTTTATTGAACAAGGTAGAGGGGAAAAAACAAATATAATGGTATTTGCATAGAAAACATCTCAGAAGCATCAAAACAAATAGAGCCCTAATACCTCAAAAAAAAAGAAAAGATTTAGCTCAGTCAGCTCCTAGTGCAGTGGTTCTCAACCTGTGGGTCGGGACCCCATTTGGGGTCGAACGACCATTTCACGGGGGTCGCCAAACAATGCAGTCCGCCATTTTCCCCCCCCCCCTTTTCCTTAGCTATGCTACTCCCTTTTATTCTATTGGCTTTTGAAAGCCAATAGAATAGATTCTCTTGAATAGAGTCTAATTCTATTGGCTTTCCAAAGCCAATAGGAATTGTCCAGGCTGTCTCTGCCCTGCTGAGCCCGCCAAAAGTCCCATTCTGCAAACGGTGCTGCACCAGTTGAGTAGTCCTCGACTTACGACCGGTTGAGTAGTCCTCGACTTACAACCGGTTGGGGGTCGCGGCATTAAAAAGGTTGAGAACCACTGTCCTAGTGGCACTGTTAGGCTTTCTGCAAGCCAACTGTTGTTTTATTGTTGCATTTTCTGTATAAAGGCACAACACATGCAAAATTTAAAATACAGTCTTGCCCACAGGTTCAGCTCTTTGTCCACTTCTTCCTCCATTGTTCTGTCACCCATTCTCCCCATCACATCTGGAGAGAAGTCAGCAGATAACAATCTGATTATTGTAATACGCTCTACATGGGGCTGCCCCTGAAGAGGATACAGAAACCGCAGCTTGAAAAATTATGTGTGCTTCTCAAGCAACACATTACCGTATATGCCGGCGTACAAGGAGACTCGGCGTATAAGACGACCCCCGTCGCTGAGCCACATTCCTAGAACGTTGTCTTATACGCTGGAAACTACCAGTATTTCTGGCGTATAAGACGACTCGGCGTATAAGACAACCCCCGTCTTTGGCGCCGATTTTAGCGCTTGCGGCAGTCGCCTTATACACCGGCATATACGGTATATCTCTGCTGTATTGCACCGGCTCTTAGTATGTTCTGTGTACAATTCAAAGTGCTAGCAATGGCCTATGAGCCCTACATGACATGGGGTGGATGACTTGAGGGACCACATCTTCCCAATCACGTTTACCCATTCCTTCAGATCAGGCCTGTTGTGACTCCCATCCACAAAGGAATGTCATTTGACAGGGCCCAGAAGGAGAATCTTTTCTGTCATGGCACCCACCTTTCCCCCCTGGAGCTTAGAGTGATGCCACATTTCTGCCCTTTAGGAAGGACCTGAAGACATGGCTGTGCCATTGTGTAGAAGAGATAAGCCTTGGCAATGGCTGTATGTAAATGGATGTGTGGCTTATATTCATTGCTTCACTGTGACTTTGCTTCATTGAATTTTGGAGAATAGTTGAATGCTGCTGTGTTTTTATAGTTTCTGCTGTTGTTTTAACTGTCATGAGCCACCCAGAGTCACATGTAAGAGTCAAGTAGCTATATAAATCTAATAAATAATATATCTAAGGCAAGAAGAACAAAAATAAAAGCCACCTGGGGTCATAAAGAAGAAAAGAACTTTGGTCAGTTTCTATCACATCAATCAGCTCTGTGGAATTTGCAAAAATATCAGAATCAATTTAAAATAGTAGCAAAAAAATAATAATCTCTCAATGGATTTTTTTTGTTTCAGTCAATATATCAAGATTCTGTTTCTATATATTATATATTAAAATTAATTTGGTTTCAAGGGTTTTTTTTTTAATGTGAAATGTATGTCCTTCCTGGGTAGTTTTCTTAAATTTTACAAAAAAGACAGAAAGAAACTTTTTAGCATCACTTCTAAAGAAGCCCTGGGGGAAAAGGCAGCTCCTTTTCCTGTATTTATATTATTTCTCAAGTAAAATGGTAATTTATGTAGTGTAAAAAAATAAGTCTGGGTTGAAAACGTAAGATTTTTTTTTCAAGGTTCTTCACCTGGCTTTATATAATTAAATGTATTTCATTCTAAGTCAACGAAATTGCAGGCTCTCAGCTCAGAAATCTTTTGGAATTTGCTAAGATTTGAAGGGTCTATCCAACATTCTTGGCATCTCCACTCTTTTAGATAAATGTTGATACTGAATGTTATCAGTTCCGCTATTAAGCAGATTGAGGGTCAAGGAAAGTGACATAAGAATCCATAAGAATGGAGGTAGACAAAGTACAAATAATTCTCCATATTCCCAATTAGAACACAGAGCATAGAATAATGGGGTTGGAAGAGACTTTGGTGGTCTTCTGGTCTAACTAGAAATATTTCTATTAAATAATTAAAATATGCCTATCAAATAAGAATTATCCACCTTCCTCAGTAGGTGAGTCCAGTACTATGGAAGTTTCCAGTTTCTTGTATTGTAACTCTGATTTTTTAAAAAATTGTCTTAATGCTGACTGTGAGCTGAGCACAGAGATTACAATGTACTGACAGTAAACAAAATGTACTTTGATGAGATGAGGCAAAACCTCTCCTTAGCTGTCTCATAACGGCACCGCAGTGGTTGGATGGCCAGTAGATGCTATAAAATAACCAAATGCTAATAATAATAATAAGAGCCGTCAGCATCACGGAAAGCAGGGAGTAGGATGGAAAGGAGAATGGTGTAGCATTTCCAGCAAAGCCAACTTTTTAGTAATAGTAATAGTAGTAAAGTTGGAAGGGACCTTGGAGGTCATCTAGTCCAACCCCCTGCTCAGGCAGGAAACCCTACACCATTTCGGACAATGGCTGTCCAGTCTCTTCTTAAAAACTTCCAGTGTTGGAGCATTTACTGCTTCTGGAGGCAGGCTGTTCCACTGATTAATTGTTCTCACTGTCAGGAAGTTTCTCCTTAGTTCTAGGTTGCTTCTCTCCTTGATTAGTTTCCATCCATTGCTTCTTGTCCTGCCTTCAGGGGCTTTGGAAAATAGCTTAATTCCCTCTTCTTTATGGCAACCCCTGAGATTTCTATTACACAAGGTCAAAATAATGATTCCGCATCATTTTCACAGGGCAGCCCTTTGAAAACAGGGTATCAGTGGTGAGAAGAGCTGCAATACTGTCATGATATATTATTGTCCTCTTAAAAGAAACTAGAAATTGATGCACTACATTGGTTCAAAGTAGCTTCCAACCCATTGTTGGTTCTGTTCATCTTACTTTCTCCTAATTAAAAAAAAGAGGGTTTTTTTACCCCCCCCCCCAATTCAGTTTCCTTCCTCAGGCAAATATCCCTGTGAGAAAAATACAGAAAGAGAAGAAGTTTGCTAAGTTCAGCACACAAAGGAAATGGGTACCTGCATATGGTTGGTCCAAATGCTTGATAGTAGCATCCAGTCCTGGACAGCAAGGCATGCCTTGTACTGTTTTTAACTCCCAGCTCTCCATAAAGAGAGACAGAAGGAGTATAGTGGCTCCCTTCTGGAGCAGAATCAAAACCTTAAGAGCCCAGGTCCTTTGACTGCAACTCTGCTGGCCTTTTAAAGCCACTCTTTTGTCTCTTCTGCATTGCTGCTAAACGCCATGAGGTCACTCTCACTATTTTTATCCCCCAGGCATCATCACTAAACAGGGTGATGGACATTGTCAACTGTCAAACACTTGCTCCACTTCCCATCCTCCTCTCATAGCTGGGGTTAAAATAAGACAGACTGTTTCTCACAACAAGTTTTCACACTTCTGAAGAGAATAAAGGCATCCCATGTAATTTACCTCACACACAATGCACCGCTCCTTCAAAACGCTCAACTTGTCATCTTAATCAGCGTTTGAATCAAAGCATTTTCACAAACTGAGTTTTGGCAACAGGCTATACAACATGGCACGCTATTGTTTTTCACAGTTGTGTCCTATTCACATCCAAAATGTGGCTAATATAGGAAAACTAACAACACTGTAAGGGCATCCTTAAGGGGAAATAAAATTTCCCCTTATTCTTTAAGATCCATATCAATGGTGCAGGGATTCTATCTACTTTGTAATTAATAACAGGAACCAGGAATATACATTTTGTATATTAAATACTCAGGAGTTTTAAAAATTGGGGTTTTTTTTTCCTCTTAAGGCTAATTTCTTTTGTTCTAAAATGGCCATAGCCAAACATTAAATATTGTGCTATTCTGAATCACAAAGAAGCCAATCTTGTCATGAATATCATAATTCTCTTTGCCTTCATAGCTGTATGTGTTTTTTTTAAATGTCCCTGTTCTAATTTGAATTGGCTCATAAAAGTAAGACAAGGTTCTGTAATCAGGAATGGCAGTAAATTATTGTGCCAGTTATTTACATCACTAATCGCTGGGATATAACTATGTGTAAACAATGTAGAGGTGACTTTGGTAAAGGAATCAATGAACCATTAAAGGAGGAGGAAAAGCAACTCAATCCTGGAAAGTGTGAGAAAGAAGCTCAAAGTAAAACTGCCTTGATTCTATTTGGTGTAAGATGGGGCAGATGGAAACTCAGACAGGGTTTTAAGATTCTCTGATTCTACTTTCCACCTATAAGAAAATGTACTTGAATGGCTGCCTTGTCTATTTGTTGACCTGGCTTACCTCGAAGGGCTGACATCAATCCTGAAAGCCTGTCAGAT